ACACCTCTGCTTGGAAACCTCCATACAACACCCCTTGTTTCGTTCTAGCCCTATTCTATTACCAGACATAATTGGGAGAAGCTCATCCGAAACTAGAGCTAGAAATGCTTGATTTCGTTTCGTTCCCGCGCTCTAAGGAACTGTCTGTTAGTGAGACATTATCCAGACACAGAGTGGTGCTTCATTTTCAGAAATGTGCTTTTGGCTGTGGTGACAAACTTAAGAGGGCCCTTTTGATAGAGCTGTGATTAAGATTGAATATGCAGAAGTTCCTCTTTCATCTGCGAGTTTGATAGTTCACCTTGTGGACTCACAATTTGTCAAAGAGCATAGTATGTACTAAGTTTTGACCTTAGATTCTTGGTTTCCCTCTTGTTGCCACTTCCTGGTGATGTTATTGTCATTTTAGATATCAAATATATTATGAACACTACAAATCAATATATTGCCCACATAGGTTACAACTTTTGCAAGCAATACATAATGTTACAACTAGCCAATGACTCTCTTATATTGGATTTTGTGTATGGTATGGTGTCTAAACATATGTTGCTTGGAATCTTCAAAAATGTCATTGCGTGCATATGGGTTCCTCCAAAATTAGTGCATTTTTTGAGGATCCGACAGGGGTGCAACAATATTTTTGGATTGTCCGAGCAACATAGGTCCAAACCATGTTAGGACAATATTCTTGTGTTGCATTGTTGAAGGGGGTAGTTTCCATGGTTTCTGTGAGGTTTCCCTATCGTTATGTAATGGTATTAAAATGCTTTACTCAGTGACATACTATTTTTTTCTTTTTATTGTTGTTTCCTTGTGCTTCCGAGTTATGTTGTCTTTGTGGAAAGCTGAAAATTTAAACCAAATGCTTTTGCTTCAGGGGCGATGATGGTGTGACAAGTGAATCAGAAAAGTTATCCAAGTCTGTCTGTTGTCTGTTGTCTGCTGTGAACTTTGACTTCCAAGGTATGTTGATGACACATGGGCTGGGCTGCCGTTACTTTCTCATGATTTGCTGGTTGATCGTTATGTTCATGATTACATGTTTCATCAGTGAACATGAAATGCTAGTAGTAGTTCTCAGAAGCGAAGAAGGCAATATTTCAGATAGATAGTAATAAAAGCCTTGGACCAGATGGATTTGGAAGTGGATTTTATAAATCAGCTTGGCCTATTGTGGGAGAAGATGTTACAAATGCAGTGCTAGAATTTTTCCAGAACAGCAAGATTCTGAGGCAGATTAACTCAACTAGTATTGCACTTATTCCCAAGATTGATAAGCCTGAATTTGCCAGTCAATTCAGACCTATCTCTTGTTGTAATGTCATTTACAAGTGCATATCAAAATTAATTTGTAGTAGGCTGAAATCAGCTATTAGTCTTATAGTAGCAGAGAACCAATCAGCTTTTGTCCAAGGAAGATCAATGATGCATAATGTACTCATTGCCATGATATCTTAAGACATTACAATCGGAAGAACGCATCTCTTAGATGTCTTATGAAGATAGACTTGAAGAAAGCATATGATATGGTTAGCTGGGAATTCCTGGAGGAAGTACTTAATCATTTTGGGTTTCCTGGACAGTTTGTAAAGTGGATTATGTTGGGAGTAACAATCACCATGTTCTCAGTCAAAGTAAATGGGGGAAGCCATGGGTTTTTTGCAGGTAGAAGAGGATTGAGGCAAGGAGATCCAATATCTCCTTTGTTGTTTGTACTTGTGATGGAGTACTTGTCTAGAACACTACATACAATGAGTCAATTGCCAGACTTCAAGTACCACCCAATGTGCAAGAAACTGAAACTTACACACCTTATATTTGCTGATGATCTGATGATTTTTTGCCAAGGAAATGTGGACTCAGTGAATAGAGTGATGGAAGCATTAGCTCACTTCTATACTGCTACTGGTTTGGAGGCCAACTTGGAGAAATCTAATGTGTACCTAGCTGGGGTAGATGAGAGTGTCAGAATTCAAATCCTAGCCAAAACTGGATTTTCAGAGGGTGTGTTTCCAATTAAATACCTAGGACTCCCCTTGTCACCTAAGAAATAGAAGAAGATTGAGTGTTGGTTCCTGATAGACAAGATTACTCACAGAATAAAAGTAACATACTCTAAACAACTTTCATATGCATGGAGATTGCAAGTAATTAATGCAGTACTGTTCTCAATTCATAGTTTTTGGGGAGCAGTATTCATCCTTCCCCAGAGTATTCTCAAGAAAGTGGATCAGATATGCAGAGATTTCCTATGGGGAAGCAGTGTTGATAAGAAGAAGGTAGCATTGGTTGCATGGGATAAAGTGTGTCTTCCAAAAATACAAGGTGTTTTGAATATTAAAGGTTGTAGCAATTGGAATAAGGCATCTGTGGGCCAATTATTGTGGCAAATTATAGTTAACAAAGAGTCATTGTGGGTTAAATGGGTTCACAACATATATATGAAGAATGACACTTCAATATGGACTCATAAAACTCCTATTGACTGTAGCTGGTATTGGAGGAAAATTAATGCACTCAAAGAGCACATGCAGGGCTGGTACAATCACAGAAGATATATGCTGACTCAAACTGGTAAGTATTCTATTACCAAGAGCTATTAAGCACTCATGGGTCCTAAGCCTAGATGGAATATTGCTGAACTAATCTAGACGTCAATGGCTATACCAAAGCATAGATTCATGACATGGTTAGCAGTTCAAGGAAGATTACTCACATAGGAAAGAAAGTTGAGACTGCAGATTCAGGTGGAGGATACTGCATGTTGTTTATGTGAGGAAAAAGTAATGGAGACTAATGTTCATCTCTTAAAGATTGCAAATGGACATCAGCTGTGTGGCAAGCTATGCACCAATGGACAGAAGTACCAGTGCATAATATTGGTATTGTACATGTCCTGGATAACATAAAAGGGAATCGTTGGAAGCAATTCAAAAAAGAGATCATGGCAGCTATCTGCGGAGCAATCATATACCACACTTGGCGTGCTAGGAATTGGAGGAGATTTAGAGACATATGTGTACATACGGAAGAGGCAGTAACACAGATAAAGAAGGAAATCAGTGAAAGATTACACTTACTTAGTAGTTCTAAGAGAGCAAATAAATGTAGACACTCTATTCAGCATTTGTTATGTATCTAGGTGTTTTGTTTTGTTAGAAGCCTATTCTTTGTTTCAGAAATAGGTGCTCTTTTATTTGTATCTGTTCTTTGGTGGTTATGGTAATATTTTACAGTTGTTACCAAAAAGAAAAAAAAGTGTATCAAAGCTCTAGTTGCTCGTGTTATCAAACTAAATGAGCTTCCAAGTCCTACTCAATTAACCATAAAACTACAACCCTTGACTATATTTATGTCGGGGGCATTTCGGAGAAGTGATCATGAAATGATCAGACTTCAAGATCTGTTTCGTAGATAGATTGAGGACATTAGCTTTGCCTGAGTTAGAAACCCCAGGTTACAGATGTTGGGACAACTTTTCTCTCATTGAGTTACGGTGGAGACTTATGCAATATATGGATAGATGAAGACAAAGAGTTAATTATGCAATTAATTTTTGGGTAAAATAGGGTGGCAAAAGGTGGTCGAAGGTTCAAGCCCCACACCATGCAAAAGGAAGCCAGGTATTTAAGTGGAGAAGGATAGAGGGGGGGCCATTATCCATTGAGTTTAGAAGGCTATGATTGATCCGGGCGGATCACACGGATTTCTCGGTAATCATTTTTTGGGTTAGTGCATCCATTTTATTTATATTTTTGGTGTCAGTATGCTATTACAATGAATGTCTCTCTTAAAATTGTCATTTTTTTTAATTGAGTTCTTTTCAAAGTCTCTGTCATTTCTTTTTTACTAAGTATTATTTGTATTTCAATTTGACCATTTGTTCCTTGCTTTTTAATATTTTTTTAAAATTATTTTACAAGAAAATAGGATGCAAATCATAAAAAGAAAGTAAAAAAAAGTGGAAATCACAAAAGAGGACATACGTGGGGGTTCAAAATACAATGGACTCAGATTGTATCTAGTCTAGCAGTTGAAGGACTTCGATGGCTGTTAACCTGTTGTAGCCAATGTAGCTTTGACATGATTAAACTTTCAGGAGTATTTACTTAATTTGTTTTCCAAATTAGATGTAGGTACAATCTCACTTCAAGTCCTTTGCAAGTTTAGCACCTAACGTATTTTGACTATTGAACACATAGTCAAAAGCTCTTATGACTATTTCTGGTTACCTTTTTTTAAAAATTTAAATACGATGCTACATTATATTGTCACACGGAAATTGACTCTTTTCTTGGTGCTTATTCATCTGCTAATATACCCAATGCTTTTTCTCCTAATTATTCAATTTGCTCTCCTACACTACTGAATTAAAATGTAAAACTATTAGCACCCAAAAGTGTGGCTTAGTAGGCAATGACGTAGATTGAGTACCATAACATCTCAAGTTCAATTCCTGGAAAAAAACACTAGGTGATTTCTTCGTTCTCGCTTACCTATCTTAATTTTCCCAATATCTAGGAAAACATAAATGCAAGCAAGAGGAGTTGATGAAGTTAATTAAGTATTATCCATTGATTTCATAAAGTGGACAAGTATTGTTGAATGGAGGGAGTAATAATTAACACCTTAATAGTTGCAACTCTACTCTTTATTAATGCTTATTTCAAGTGCCAAAACCATGGAATTAAAAAAAAATGTTTAAAAAGACCTAGCATATTGGCTTTAACTTAATTAATAACAGTAATGTATAGTTACCTACCAATGGGACGAATTAAATAAGTAGGATTTTCAAAACCAACCATTCCACTTATTGACTTACGTTATGCTTTATAGTGGATTCTTGATTGTACAGTTTGAAATTAACAGAATTTTTTCCTAGTATAAATAGCATGTTAGTATTGCTCTAAGTGTACCACAACAAAAATTCATAAAAACATCGAAATTAATTCGAAACTGTTGAAGAGTATATAGCAAAGTAATAAATCAAGGAGAAAATGGGTGGCAGTGAAGCTGGAGATGATTCAAAGCCAAAGGGGAACAGAGGAATTTCTTTTCTTGATTTTATTATGAGAATTGTTGCCATTTTAGGTACCTTAGGAAGTGCAATTGCCATGGGAACAACTAATGAAACCCTTCCCTCCTTCGAACAGTTCATTAGGTTTAAGGCTGAGTACAAGGACCTTCCTACTTTCACGTAAGATAATACACTATTACTACTATATTTTTGTTTGCGATATAATTCATACACTGAATGTATAAATATATTACTTATTACTGTACTTTAGCATGTTATAGCAGGTTGTTTGTCTTACTTTTCAGGTAACTAGTTTAACACTTATTAGATGTTATCTATGTTAGTGTAAAGATAGCAAGTAGTATATTACAATTTTAATTTTTAACCAGGTTACTCATTATTGTTTATGAAAATTCACAGGTTCTTTGTGGTAGCTAATGGCATAGTTAGCGCGTACCTCGCTGTATCTCTTGTCCTATCCATCTTGCACATTGTGATGAGTGGTGCAAGAATAACAAGGGTGGTGTTGATCTTCTTTGATACGGTGATGATGGCATTTTTAACATCTGGAGCATCAGCAGCAGCAGCCATTGTGTATTTGGCACACAAGGGAAATGCTCGTGCTAATTGGATTGCTATTTGCCAGCAGTACAACTCTTTCTGCGATCGTGCATCTGGCTCTTTGGTTGGATCCTTCATTGGAGTTCTTGTGTTTTTGCTGCTCATCATATTGTCTGCTCTGGCTCTTTCAAGAAACTGATTATTGATCACTTCCTGCGCCAAGAAAGGACGCGCGATTTCATCATTTGATATTGTGTTTTATTCCAAGAAATTTTTGAATGATTCTTGTCATTTATTCCTTCAAGATGTTATTAAATCTGTTTGTTTTAGTGATTCTTCCTCTCAATCAATAAAATTGATGTTGCATTTGTTCTGTTATTACTTGACAATTGTCTTCCTGCTGAAAATCAACTAGTACATCAAATTTCTGTATAAAGCTTAGCTATAAATTTTATTTGGAGCTGAAACTTACAAGTCCTAAAATACCTGACACAGCACTAGCCAAATATAAATTAATGTTGTATGCACTAACGAAGACTACAACAAAATGTCTAAATGAGGCATACAATGACCACAAATCCTCAATGAACTGCTGATAGAAACAATCCAAAATGCAATTTGCACGTCTAATGAACTACAGTGGTTTATGATGTGAATAGACGGAAGAGTTGGATCAAAGATGTCGTCTTTGTACCCTCCCACAAAGGATGGACCTTCACGCGTACCAAGTTTGGCATTAAGCTTAGTTGCTCCCTTCTCCGCTTGTGCCTGCTATCTCTATTCTCAAGAGTGTTTACGCTTGGAATTAAAACAAAAATTCTTGAGATCATAATCATCAGCCTCAATTAAAGTACAACCAGGTTCTTTCCAAACCCCATTGTCATCCATCAACTTCCTCACCCTTTCAACACCATCCCATTCATCCCTCGACGCATAGATATTAGACAGCAAGACATAGTCCCCACTGTCTTCCCTTCCCAATTTAAGCAACTGCTCATTAGCATACCTTCCCAGCTCGACATTGGAATGAACTTTACAAGCTCCTAGCAGTGTTCTCCATATAATAGCATTAGGTTTAATCTCCATCGTGTTTATGAATTCAAACGCTTCATTCAATAGTCCTGCACGTGCTAGCATATCCACCATACAGCCATAGTGCCTTATGTTTGTCTCAATATTGTAGTCAGTTCTCATCATGCTGAAATATTCTCGGCCATCATCAACTTTACCAGCGTGACTACAAGCAACCAATACACCAACAAAAGTAATTTCATTAGGGATATACTTCATTCTCCTCATATCTTCAAAAAGAGAGATACATTCTTCAGAATGACCATGGAAAGCTAATCCTAATATAATTATGTTCCAAGACGACACGTCCTTCTCTCTCATGCCTTGAAACACTTCAAGTGCCTTCCTAATGTTGCCACACCTAGCATACATGTCTACAAGTGCATTACCAAGAAATACGCTTAACTCGCCTGCACCCATATCAATAATTGATCGATGTATCTGCTCGCCAACATCCAAGAATGCTGAATCAGTGCAAGCGGATAAAAGGTGCAACATGGTGACTTCATCAGGGTATTCCCCTGCACCTCTCATCTCTTCGTACATCTTCAAAGCCTTCTCATTTTCTCCACAAAGCACATATCCAGAAATCATGGCATTCCAAGTCACAACATCCCTCTTTGGCACAATATCAAACATCTCCCTCGCATTCTCCATCTTCCCTTGCTTCACATACCCAGTGATCATTACATTCCAAGAAACCAAGTCTTTAACCGGCATATCATCAAAAAGCCTCCTCGCCGCATCCAATTCGCCTCTTCTCGCATATCCAGCCGTCAAAGCAGACCAAGCAACAACGTCCCTCTTAGCAGAACCATCAAAAAGTTGGCCTGCAATTCTTATATCTCCAACATTAGCGTGAAAATATATAAGGGTATTCCTCGCAAATTTATTAGATTCAAACCCATGTTTCACAATTTTCCCATGTACAGTAAGGCCAGAAACAAGCCAAGAAAGCTTGGTACATGCCTTGAGTAGAAACGGAAAAGTATAACTATCCGGACGTATGGAACGTTTTTCCATCTGGGTATAAACGGAAACAGCAAGAGAAGGCCTGTGACTCTGAGCTGAGCCTCTAAGTATGGTGTTCCACATGAAGAGATCTGGTTGAGTAATTTGAGCAAACAGCTTGTGGGCATAGTGAATAGATGCTGAGAAAGTAACAGCAGAAGCATATATGAGCTCCCTGAGAGCAATGCGATTGGAGTTGAAGCCATTGATGATCATCAAAGCATGAATTTGCTTTAGGGATTGAAGATCTTTGCATTGGCTCCATAGTGATGATTGTCGGTGAAGATTTAAACTCCTGCTTGCTATTGTCTTTTTGATCATTTATCTTCCACAGTCCCATCCATAGATGTGCTTCTACGGATTCATCAACTAATATTGGGCCTGGCCTGTTGTTTCTCATGGGCTTTATCTTTATTTTAGGTTCAGATGTTCACTACAAGGATCTTTTGCTTGAAGATTGGCCCACTACTCCTGCCATTTCAATTATGAGGAACTTTCACATATAGCCACTCAAAAATGGCTTAATTACTCTCCATAGCTATAGTTTGATAATTACAATTCGTAGCTACATGTTATAGGGAGGAGAGAGGCGAGCAAAACTAGGAGAGAGAGGGCAAAGAGTGGGAGAAAGGTGAATTGTATATGTATGTCGGTTAGATAATTGTATATTATGCATATGTATTTGTATATATGGCAAGCGAGATTGGGAGAGGAAGGAGAGAGGCGAGCGAGATTGGGAGAGGGAGGAGAGAGGCAAGAGAGAGAGGGCAGAGAGTGGGAGAAAGGTGAATTGTATATGTATATCGGTTAGATAATTGTATATTATACATATGTATTTGTATATTCTGGTGAATTATACATATACAAACGTGGCTAATTATACAAACTCGAAGTAAACCCACGTAATTAATGTATAATGTTAGTCGCGAGTGGTAATTATAGCAAACTATAGCTATGATGAGTAATTCAGTAGTATAAGTTTGCTTAACTGCGTAATTTTCCCTTCAATTATTTGTCTTTTTTAAAAAATAAAATTGTTTAAGTATGTTACATAGAATTTGTTTTTCTTGACGATTCTTAGTTCTAATTTATCATATGATATGTTTATAACTACAAGATTAAAGGACATTCTAATGAACATATCTTTAGTTTAAATTACAAAATTCAAAAGTTTTTTTTATTTTTTTAAATTATGAGTTAAGTAAAAATCAGACAAACAAATTGAAACGAAAGGAATTTTAATTTTATAGCATAATTTGCACCAGTTATGTCAACTTTCTATGTAACAGACTGCCATTGTGCACTTGCCCGGAAATTTCACCATATGTCAATATTTTCTGCAAAACTAACATGATTGCTGATGAGAATTTATTGTACTCCTATTAGAGATTTCTAATAACGACTACGCGTTAGTTGGATGAAGTAACATGGAGTTAGAGTTGAGATGTTATAAGGAAAAAAATAAATCATTTTTTAATGTTGATAAAACATGTATTTTCTGGAAATGTTTTCTAATAACTAAAACAAAAAGTTGGCTTCACCATTAAAAATATATACTCCTATTTTAAAATATCAAATACATTTTATTTCACTCAAGACCCTCCAACGCAAATCGCACCGTCTAATATATCTGTTAATAATGTCTGTTAAAGATGGTTAATTATTTGAGCGTGCCTTATTTGTCGAGCAAACATGTATGATTATTGGTTAAACTTACTTTTTCTGATTATTTACCTTTTCTATCGATAATATTTGTAAAATGAAACTATGATCCATTATTTTTGACGAAGAAAAATTGAAGACACGGATACAAGTTTATTTAGACTTTTGAACAAGGAGTTGCACGAGCATCGTGTTTTCCGAGAGGTCAAAGTAAGTTGTTTTAAAATGTTTCCTGTTTTTAGACTTTTTGGATTGGAAAAGAAAATAGACTTTTTTTTTTCCAGAAGAACTAGTGCATATGTAAAACGAAAAAGGTTCATTTTGTATCAGGTGCAAATAAATTTTTAAACTGCAACGTTTTTTAGGTGTTCGGTGTTCCTTAACAATAAACTTTAATGTTTTTTTGCATAAGATAAACTCTAATGTTATACACCAGCCTTTCCCTTTTATACTTGTCAACTTTTTTACAAAAAGCAATTTCTGTCTGATATTTGGAGCTTGAATTAGATTTATTATATATTTTAAATAAAAAAAAATTGATGTTGGATGATTGTATGAAAATTTTTAACAACACCACACCCCATATATATTTAAAATTCAAAAAATATACTAATAAGTTACAATTTCTTCACATATTAATATGATGAAAAGATACATGTTAAAATACTGATCAAAGGGAATATACTTTGACTCTTAAAAATTAAAATGATATATTAACCAGAACTAAAAGAAAATGAAGAGTATAAAACAAATGAAATATCACATAAATTCATCATAATTTCGCTCATAGGCTATTAATTTAAGGTGATCGATAAGAGTCTTTTACATGGTAGAGTGATTTGTTTTTCCTATTTCTTTTCTCGTTTCCTCTACACTAGGTAATTAAAACATATTTTTAAGGAAAATAAAAATAAAATATCACAATTAGGATTTTTTATAAAAAAAATTCCATTGCATGGCCAGGAAATTAACCAAGTTTTGGCATAGTATTGTGTCACGAATATTATATTTCTAAAGGAGAGGATATTAAATTAAAAGCAGATAATTAATTAATAATTATTACAGACGGGCTGATCTATGTTAGGAAAAGTAAACGAAAATACATACATAATTACAAGCTCTTTGATTGAATCCAAGCTTCATCTATTCAATGTGAATCAATGCAAGATGAACTTTGATTTTGTCAAATTAATTAAGTTTATGTTACCATATTTAGTCAAATATTACTCCTAATTATTATCTTCAAGCCACCATTTTTAAATAGTTGGACGAATTTCCATAGTATTATTTATCAAACGTTGGTATAACTAATTAAATACTTTGGCATAGCTAGTATATATAGCTTAGCCTAGCTACTAAACAAATTAGACAAACGTAATTATCTTTTCTTTTTTCTCCTCTCCTTTTATTTTTCTTTAATAATTTTGGAAAGTAGCTGTGGTTACTTCATAGTATAGGAAACTGCTAAATAGTAGGCTGTGGTTCATGCATACACTGTTTGGACATTATAAGCCCAGCTTGTCGTGCATATGATGCTCATTCTTACCTAACTGAACTAACATTAGTCCCAAATATTGGGACCTCTAGAAATCCTCACTTCTTAATTAATTAATCTTTTATAACAACAATAACATATTCAATGTAAAAGCGAAGTTTAAGGAGGGTGGATGTACGCAAATCGTATCCCTGATAAAGAGGTTTTTTCCAATAGACTTTCAGCTAGTTGAATTTTTAATTAATCTTTAATTTAATTAATTTTCGATCACTTCTTAATTATATTTTAGATAATTAATCAACTCAAAGGCTAGAAATCTGTTTGCCGCATACATGAAATGGAAGTGTCGCTAGCGACAACTGACCAAATTGTAATAATCCAAAAACTTGTACCAATAAATGAAAAGATTATATTACATACCAAAAACTTGAAAACAACGAGTTGGGTAGTTTAGAATCATTATAAATAAATTTGGTGTTTATTATATACCGGAAATATTTATATCGTTGTTTCAATGTTTTTTTGATTTTATGTATAAGTGATATAGTATTTTATATATTTTAAACCAAAGTTTTGGCATAGTATTGTATCACATGCATTCAATGTGAGATAACAATCTAAATATAAGTGTCCTTGGGTAAAATATATTTTTTTCCAATATTATTTATAAGAAAGGTTCAATGATAATTTTATTCAATTTAAAGTCAAACGGATGTATTAGATTGTAAGCCATATATATCATAATTTTAATGTAATTAATCAAAAAAATGAAATAAAAAGTAAATAATTCAAGAATTATTATTAATTTCAACATGATTAGTAATCCCCTTGATACATTATTTAATTATAAAATGAATAATCATCAAATTTGCATATTTTGATTTGTTTATTTTCAAAGGGGCCTCATAATCTTTACTTTTTTTTTCTATATAATCTGTTATAATACTATAGATAATAGATTATACTATAGATTTAGGATACTATCGAGATAGCTATGTGGATAAAGATTTTTCTGAAGAAGTCTTAGATAGTAGGACCTCATCATCACTAGTATTAACTAAAGTAATATAGAACTAATATTTATATATAAATAATTTAAGCAATAAATAACATGAATAAATGAACTCTTTTGTTATTCTGCAATTTTACATGACTCAATAAGAGAGATTGACCTATTTCATACTTCTTCCTACAACTAATGTTGGACAACGTACTAGAAAATAATATCAAATGAAAAATAAATTAAAATAACAAAACTAATTGGTACTTACTATATTTATTTAATAGATTAGGATCATAGCATTGCATTTTGGTTGGTGTTAGGATTAACCAACCACAATCTACCATATCTAGTTCTGAAAATAATTTGTAGCCTTTTCTTTTTCAATTTTCCTTGGGGAATAAAAGTCTTGTCATAGTAGTGATTAAGTATATTATCTTTGTAATCTTTGCGAAATCAGCTCAATGACTTTCAAAATCTTTAAATATATACTCTATCAATTTGTTTAATCATACTATTATTTTCCTATAATCATTCAAGTATATTCATATGACTAGTCGTCATAGTTTTGGTCTAAGGGAGTAATTCTGAAATAAATTTGTACTAGCTAGGCACCCAAGGGGTGGCTTGGTAGTCAATGAAGTAAATGAGAACCCTAAAGGTCTCAGTTTCTAAATTCAGCAGAGACAAAAAATACTAGGTTATTCTTTCTATCTATCCTAACCTTGAGTTACTGATTCTTTTTCTTGCTCTTTCCTAGCCTAACTACTAGAAGATCAATTTTTGTAAAGTGAAAAAAAGGAAGTTCTTTCTTTCTAATATATGGATGAAGGACAGTACTATCATTTTAGATGCCTGCTAGTTTCATCCAACAGGGAGTGTATCTGTACCATAGCCACTTGATTCAGCTTCAACTTTAAGAAGAATATGAGATGCCAAAAGCAAAAAAAAAAAAGAGGAAAGTTTCTAAATTTAGAAGGACATTTCATTCTTAGCTTTGCCTCTTTTTTGTTTGTTGCTCTTAATTAGTTTAGACGACCTAATCTATACCGATTCTTTGAATTTACTATCCATTCATATAATATCTACACCTCCTCATTCATTTCCATACAATGAACCATATTTCAATCTTTATCCATTACCTAATGTTACACGACTTAATTCCCAAGT